CATTCAGGCATGTCTTCATTTGTGCAGACTGGGCACCTCAGGCCATGTGATCCTCGCAGTTGTCAGTGTCCTAAGAGAGTAAATAGGCAACCATGGCAGGAAGCAGTTGGCACATCCATGGAAGGGGCCAGGCGTGGGGACCAGGGAAGCCTTTCTGGGAGACAAGATATGTAAGCTGAGATTTAGCAGACAAGAAGGCTTAGGCAAGAGTACAGAAAGAGGACTCTCTGAGGTGGGGAGTCCATGTCCTTCCTCAGCTTGTTCGTGTCTCTGTTCAAGACCTTCCTTCTCCAGCCACCTAGGGTGACACCTACCCTGACCCTCAACTCCCTTCCTTCTCAACCCATCCAACGTGGCGCCTCCCCTCGCCGTCCACTCCCTTCCTTCTCCGCCCATCCAAGATGGCGCCTACCCTCACTCTCCACTTCCTCCCTTGTCCCCCTGTCTAAGGTAATCCCTGCGCTCACTCTCCACCCTCTTCCTTGTCCCCCCATCCAAGGGGGCTCCTGTCCCCACTCTCTGCTCCCTTCCTGTGCTTCTGTTCCCATCTGTTCACTTATCACCACATGGCCATGGTTGTGTTCGTTTTAGCTTGATTGCTAGTCTCTGCCACTGGGATGTCGGCCCCATAAGGCAGGGACTCTGTTCATGGATGCGTCGACAGTTCCAACAGACGCTAAGTTGTTTACTTGGCTACGTGAATGAGTGAACGGGGTGAGTTCAGGCTGGCCAGAGCAGAGAGACTAAGTCAGGGAATCTCTGACCTTCAGCCCCAGCTGCCCACTCACACCCAGCCTCTTCCTGTTATTTTGACATGACACCTGAGCTCTGCCTGACCTGTTCTGAGACCCACAGCATCCTCTGGCTGCTTCTTGCTCTCCTTACTGACCCCACACTGCGATTTTTGTTCTAGGTTTCCTGGCGGGGTGTGGCCCAATGCCACATAACATGGTGTAGACAGAGGCAGGTCTATGAGAAACCGGGGTTGACATTGACTCCGCCTCATTGATGCTGCTGGCTTCAGATGAGCTTGTCCCGGCAGCTCCTGGGGAGTTTCTCTGTGTCAGACCCGTCTCTGGAGCCCAGCTTCTCTCCGTGTTTTCCCTCTCCAGGATTTCTGGGTTCTCTTTCTCATCCTCAGCCAGGTTTTTGACAGCCTGCAAGGAGTTTGTGTTTTCAGTCAGTCTGTATGAGAATGGTCAGCTGGTCGGGGATGAAGGAGCTTTAGCAAATGCATCAAATATTGAGGTCATGCCATAGTCTTTCAGCATCGTGGGGATGGTGTGGCTTCCTGGTGACTTCCTTGGTTTCTCTGTGCAAAATATTCTGGGATTTCCCCAGTTCAGGCACATGAGGCACAGATGTCAATTTCCTTCAGAGGCCTGTAAAGCTCTCTTCCAAGTCACAGTCATTTTAGAAGGGCAGTCCTGCAGCCCACTTGGCCAAGTAAAAGAAAAATTTTGTCAAGTCCAGGAGTGAGGTGCTTGTTGGAAGCAATGCTTGAGCGGATTTGCTGTTTTGTCTGGCAGTTCTTGTAGGGTTTTCCAGCACTGTGTCACCCACTGTCACAGGGTCCCAGGACAGTATCCACCCCCACTTCACATGTCCCTGGTGGTTTCTGGCACACACAAAAAAAGATGACCATAACCTCTTCCCTGGCCTTGGAACCAAGCAAGGTTTGGAATGAGGGAGCTGAAAAGAACCTTCCTGGTCATCTAATCCAAATGCTAGTCCACAGATCATTTTCCTCTGAATCATTTGGGAAAAATACGGTTCTCTTACTTCTGCTACCAAGATTCTGATCCAGCAGGTCTGGGATGGCTCAGGAATCACGTCTTCCAAACGATCTTGATATGTGGCCACACTCAAGCCCCACGGGCCAGTATCTTATCAAATGAGAACACTCAGGTCCCCATGGGTGGGGGAACAGACCCCATGAATATCGAGGTGGGCAGAATGGTGGGAAGGGTGTTAGAAGACACATCAGGAGACCCAACTGTGTGTGATCCCAGCTCTGGCATGGCCATGTGTGTCGCTCTGGGACTATGACTCCCCAGCAGGCTTTGTGATCTGAAGGCTTCTTTCATTTGCTCCGGTGTTCTCTGCGTCCCCCAGATTTCCCCTTGGAGAACTGATACAGTGCCTTGTAATGCGTAGGCATGAATCTTCACTGCTTCCTTCATTCATTTCCTCCAGCCAGGCTCTGCGCCAGCCATTGACCTTAGAGATCAACACGACAGGGACTCAGAGAAGAGGCGCAAACAAACCCGCCTCGCTGACACCTCTTTCATTGTGTCTACATGACAGTCCTGCAACATGGTTGCTGTCCCCCTGTCACAGTTGGGGAAATGCCCTTAAAGAGGTTGTGAGAGTTCCTTAAAGTCATTCAGGTAGAAAGAGCCTACTATGTGCCAGGCATTGTTTCAAGCTCATCTGCTGCCATATTCAGTTGATTCTGTGACACACATTTTAATATCCATGAGATCAGGGAGCATCCGGCTGTTGCATAATTTGCCTCCTAACCAGCCGAGTTTTCTCCTCGGTGGCATATAAAACCAGTGAGGTGCAGGCTGGGTACGGTGGCTCAAGCCTGTAATATCAGCACTTTGGGAGGCCAAGGCAAGAGGATTGCCTGATCCTGCGAGTTCAAGACCAGCCTGGACAATTTGGTGAGACCTCATCTCTACAATAAATCAAAAAATTAGCCAGGTGTGGTAGTGTGCACCTGTAGTTCCGGCAACTTGGAAGGCTGAGGCCGAAGGCTCGCCGGAACCCAACAGATTGAGGCTGTGGTGGACATGAGCCTGCCACTGCACTCCAACCTGGGCGATAGTGTGAGACTCCAACTCAAAAAAATAAATAAATAAAACAGTGAGGTGCTTTACAAGTGGATCTCAGATTTGGTGAATCACTGTCTCTCACCTATAGATAGTAAATGGCAGAGCCGGAATTCACACCCGAGTCTCTCTGGCTTAAAACACTTGCATACTCACAACCTAGTAGGAAGTAGACAGGAACAGCCAATTCAGGGCTGAGATGCTTCCCGGGACATAGCCAGGCCACCTGCTCACAAAGCTCTGACCACCCCTTGGTTTCCTGTTTCTCCTACATCCTCCTTTTCCCTGACAGTCAAGGATGCTGGACACCAGGTCTCAACTGGGGGGAGAGGAATCCATCAATCACACTCCTTGGTACTTACCCAAATGAGTTGAAAACACGTTCCCACAAAAGCATGGATATTTATAGCAGCTTTATTCATCATTACCAAGGTGTGGAAGCAATTAAGATATCCTTCAGTAGGTGAATGGATAAGTACACTTTGGAACATCCAGACAATAGACTATTATTCAACACTAAAAAGAAATGAGGCTGGGCGCAGTGACTCACACCTGTAATTCCAGCACTTTGGTAGGCTGAGGCAGGAAGATTGCTTGAGCCCAGGTGTTCAAGACCAGCCTGGGCAACATAATGAGACCCTCATCTGTACAAAAAAAATCACATTATTAGCCAGGCATGCTGGCACGTGCCTGTAGTCCCAGCTATTTGGGAGGCTGAGACAGAAGAATCACCTAAGCCTAGGAGGTTGAGACTGCAGTGAGATGTGATGGTGCCACTATACTCCAGCCTGGGCAGCCGAGTGAGACCTTAACTCAAAAATAAAATGAGCCAGGCTCGGTGGCTCAGTCTGTAATCCCGTGCCTTTGGGAGGCTGAGGTGAGTGGATTGCCTGAGCCCGCGGGTTCGAGACCCGCCTGGGCAGCGAGACCTCATCTCTACAATAAAAAAAAAAAAAAATCAGCCGGGTGTGGTAGCGCACGCCTGTAGTTCCGGCTGCTCGGAAGGCTGAGGCGGAAGGATCGCCAGAGCCCAGCAGGTTGAGGCTGCGGTGGCCGGGAGCGGCCACTGCACTCCAGTCTGGGCGACAGAGTGAGACTCCAACTCAAAAAACAAAAAATAAAATAAAATGAAATAAGAACAAATAAAATTTTAAAAATAAATAACTTATTTAAAAATAAATAACTCATGAAAAGACATAAAGGAAGCTCAAATGCATCTTGCTAAGTGAAATAATGCACATTACTAAGTGAAGTAAGTCAATCTGAAGAGGCTGCACGCTGTAGGATTCCAACTATGCAACATTCTGGAGAAAACAAAACTGTGAAGACAGGGAAAAGCTCAGGGGTCACCAGAGGCTAGTAGGGAAGGAGGAGTGAATAGGAGGGACATAGTGGAACTACTCTTGTGATACAACAGTGGTGGGCACATGTCTTCATACATTTGTCCAGACTCACAGAATGCCTGACGCCCAGAATGAACCCTGATATGAACCGTGAACTCTCGGTGATACTGGTGATCTGTCTCTGCAGGTTCATCATTGGTAGCAAATGTGCCACTCTGTAGAGGAGGATACTGACGGTGGGGGAGCTGGGGGGGTGGGGGGTGGGGGGAGTTGTAGGAGGTATATGGGAACTTTCGGTGCCTTCCAATCAATTTTGCTCTTTTTTTTCTTTCTCTCTGTCGCCCAAACTGGAATGCAGTGGCATAATTACAGCTCACGGCCGCAGCTTCCAATCCCTGGGCTCAAGCGATCCTCCCACTTCAGCCTCCCAAGTAGCTGGGACTACAGGCCGGTGCCACCACACCCAGCTAATTTTTAAAAAATTGTTTGTAGAGACGAAGTCTTGCTATGTTGCCCAGGCTGGTCTCAAACTCCTGGGCTCAAGCAGTCCTCCTATGTCAGCCTCCCAAAGTGCTGATTACAGAGGTGAACTACCACACGCAGCCATAAAACTGACCTTTTTCAAAAAGGCTATTACAAAGGGGAGGAGAAGAAGGCTGGCAAAGGCAGGAGGGACACAGGGTGACTTCGGAGCTGAGACCTCGCCGTGACTGGAAGCCCAGCCCTTTCTTCCCTCCTGCCGGGGCACAGGGGAGCCAGAGAAGGTCCCTAGGCAGAGTCCTGTGTGTCCGAGGATATTGATCGTGGATGCTCCTGGCAGGTGGCGTGGAAGCCCAGGTGATGATCCGCCTGGTGAACGGCTCGGGCCCGCACGAGGGCCGCGTGGAGGTGTTCCACGACCGACGCTGGGGCACCGTGTGCGACGACGGCTGGGACAAGAAGGACGGCGATGTGGTATGCCGCATGCTGGGCTTCCGCGGCTCGGAGGAGGTGTACCGGACGGCCCGGTTTGGTCAAGGTAAGGCGCTCCGGGGGCGGAAGACATGGGGAGAGGGCCCGCAGGTCCTCGGACTGGGCGGCTCTCCAAAGCCTGACTGCCCTGGACTTTGATCCTGCCAAGTGTTCCCCCCCTGCCCCGCTTCTCCCGATTCTTCCTGCAGGGGGAGCTCACCGTCCCCCAGGCCTCTCCCGCCCCTTGTCTTCAGACAGCTCTGATTACTAGAAGGTTCTTCCTTTCCCTGAGCCTAAGTCTTGTCTCCTGTCTGTTTCCCATAGTGGCCCTCGTTCTCGGTCCTGTCTCGGGCACAGGTCTGGTCTCCCCTGGACTGGCCAGATCTTCAGATCTTTGTAAATTGCTCTCTTATTTCTGTCATTTCTGTCATGGCTTAACACTTACATACCGCTCACTTCGTGCCAGGCTATGTCCTAAACATATTACAAATATTCACTCATTTCATCCTTACAGCATTACGAAGTAGATACAGATAGCATCCTTGCTTTTCTTTTCTTTTTTTTTGAGTCAGGGGTCTCACTCTGTCGCCCAAGCTGGAGTGCAGTAGCACGATTGCAGCTCACTACAGTCTCGACTTCCTGGACTCAGGCGATCCTTCCGCCTCAGCCTTTTGTATTTTTTGGAGAGACAAGGTCTCGCTGTGTTGCCCAGGCTGGTCTCGAACTCCTGACCTCAAGCACTCCTCTTGCCTCGGCCTCCTGAAGTGCTAGGATTACAGGCGTGAGCCACCGCGCCCAGCCTGGCATCCTTGTTTTTCAGATGAAGAAACACAGACACAGCTAGCAAATGGCAGAGCCGGGGTTTAGACCCAAATAGGCTGCTCAGGAATCCGCACTCTTAACAGGTCTGCTGGGCTGTCTCCGCCTTTCTCATCTTTTCCTTCTCTAGGTGAATATCCCCAGATATTTCATCTTGGCCTCATATGACAAGATTTTGAAAGCCTGCACCATTTGGGTTGCTTTCCTTTTGACACACTGAAGCTCACTGACCTTCCCACAGATGGTACAAGGGGCTTTGAGGGAGGACACATCTTTTCAGGTAGATGGCTTATTGGGACCCTGTCCTGTCGTGAGGAGGGTGGCTGTATCCTGGCTCCAGTCTCCATCCACCCCAGGGAGTCTCTCCCGATGGCTCTGTATTGGTCTGCAAGTGCTGCTGTAACAAAGACCACACACTGGGCGGCTTCAACAGCAGACGTTTATTTTCTCCCAGTTCTGGAGGCCAGAAGTCCCAGATCAAGGTGCTGGCAGGGCTGGTTTCCCCTGAGGCCTCTCTCCTTGTCTGGTAGATGGCGTCTTTTCCCCGTGTCCTTATGTGATCATCCCTCTGTGCAGGTCTCTGTCCTAATCTCTTCCTGTGAAGAGACCAGTCAAATTGGGTTGGGGTCCATCCCAATGACCTCATTTTATCTGAATCGCCTCTTTAAAGGCCCTATCTCCAAATAGTCACATTCTGGGGTACTAGGGGTTAGGACTTCAGCAGGATTTTAGGAGGGACACAGTTCGACCCACAACCTCTCTGTTACTTGGCATGCTTACTGTGGCCACTGTCTTAGTTCATTCAGGCTGTTATAGCAAATTGCCATAAACGGGGGACCTTCCAAACAACAGACATGTATTTGTCACAGTTCTGGAGGCTGGAAGTCCACGATCAAGGCGTGGGCAGACTCAGCGCACTGCAGGGGTCCGCTTCCTGGTTCACAGACAACTCTAGCTATGACCCCACAAAGCAGAAGGGCCCAGGGAACTCCGTGGGGTTCCTTTTATGACGGAGCGCTAGTCCCATTCGTGAGGGCTCCACCCCCATGGCCTAGGGAGGGAGGGGAGAGGAAGGAATTCCTGTGCCTGGCACACCTAAGTCCTCCCTGGCAGCTCTCCCGGTGGTCTAGCAACCGTAAAGTTTTTCCTGGACAGGGCTGAGTACCCAGGTGATCTGTTTCCCTGGGGAAGAGCAAGGCGAGCCCCAAATGAGAGAGGCTTGAAAATGTTTTAAATTTTAAATCGGCCCAGGAGGCATTGGCAAGGGAGCAGTGCAGTTGAGGAGGTGGGGGAGGGGGGAGCCTGGAAGGTTCCGGATGCCAGTGGGACCTAGCACAGCTGGGAACAGCCTCAGACCAGCTGGAAACAGCTCCCAGTGGACAGCAAAGGAGGTAAGGATGGGAACAAATCAGACAGTTGTAGGTGGTATTGGGGCGGATAGAATCAGCAGTGTTTGTTCACTTCTAATTATATCGCAATTACCATTTTGAACCCTTTTTTCTAAAATAAGATCTGAATGCTGGTAGAGGGCTCAGTGCAAGGCTCAGCCAGCATTTGCTCCTTGCCACCAATCCAGTACGGTTGGATAGCAAATATTTTAAGCCAGGTAGTCTCTGTCGTAACGACTCAATTCTGCAGTCATAGCAGAAAAGCAACCACAGGATATGTCTTCACATGGGTAGGGCTGTGTTCCAATAAAACTTTATTTCTAAAAACCAGCATTGGGGCCAGGAGCAGCGGCTCACACCTGTGATCCCAGCATTGTGGGAAGCCAAGGTGGGAGGGTCGCTTGAGTCAGGGGGTTCAAGACCAGCTGGGCAACATAGCAAGACTGTATTTCTAAAACACGAGGGGGATAAGTGAAAATCCGGCACTGGGACAGAAATGGCCCATGGTTTGCCACCCCCTGGCTTAGTGTTATGTGCTGTGGGTTTTAGTTGTATGTGGACCAAGGACTGAGCTGGCTGGGCATCGAAGGCCAGATCATATTCTCTTCGCCCCAGTAGCTATGGAACCTCAGTTTTCCTCTCTCTTAAATATCTGTTAAATCGCTGTTCTGCCTCCCTCTGTTTGAGGCCCAAATAGAAGCCTGTGGAATTCAGTAACACGTATTTCCCCTATTAATATTACTCTAGGCCGGTTGTAGTGGCTCATGCCTGTAATCCCAGCACTTCGGGAGGCTGAGGCAGGAGAATTGCTTGAGGCCAGGAGTTCAAGACCAGCCTGGGCAACAGAGCCAGACCTTGTCTCTACAACAAATTTTTAAAAATCATCCAGGCATGGTTGCACACATGTATAGTATAGTCCCAGCTACTCAGGAGGCTGAGGCAGAAGGATCACCTGAGCCCAGGAAGTCGAAGCTGTGGTGATCCACGATCATGCCACTTTACTCCAGCCTGGGCGACAGAGAGACCCCGACTCAAAAAAATTTACTCTAATAAACCTATAGAAGGTGGAATGTTAGCTCTGTGAAGCAGAGATTTTTTTGCTCTTGTTGTTTTGTCTTTTTTGTTGTTGTTCACTGATGTATTCCAAACACCCCGAATAGCATTGAGCACACAGCAGGCCCTCAGTTATTTGTTGAATGAATGAATGATATGGCTAATATAAAATCCACTTGCTTACCAAAACAGCAGCCCCTTCAAGCAGCCACTCGTGCTGTAAGTATCGGACAACCTGGGCGCTAGTCCCAATGTTGCCACTTCAAGATTTTTGCTGTTGTAATAGCAAGATATTACTATTGTCACTGCTTTATTTTCCCCATCTGTAAAATGGGTTGCTATTACCTTACCTACTTACATGCTAGAACTTTTTTGTATAGCTCAAAAGAGACAGCTAGTGCAGAAGTACAGACAGACCTAGCCCAGAGCCGGGTTTCTCAGACACAAATAAACTTGTGACTCACCCATCCTGGGATCCATGCAAGCTCTGATTCAGGCCAGGGAACCCCAGACTCTGCATTCCTTCCTTCCTTCCTCTCTCTCTCTCTCTCTTTCCCTCTCACTCTCTCTCTCTTTCTTTCTTTCTTTCTTTTTGAGTTGGGGTCTCACTCTGTCGCTCAGGCCGGAGTGCTATCGCATGAACTCGGCTCACTGCAGCCTTGACCTGCTGGGTTCAAGTGATCCTTCCACCTCAGCCTCCATGCCTGGGTAATTTTTTTTTTTTTTTGAGAGACAAGGTCTTACTGTGTTGCCCAGGCTGGTCTCAAACTCCTGGGCTCAAGCAATCCTCCCATCTCGGCCTCCCAAGGTATTAGGATTATAGGCATGAGCCACTGCACCCAGCTGAGAACTCTGCTTTTTTTTTTTTTTTTTTTTTTTTTGAGTTGGCCTCTCACTCTGTCACCAGGCTGGAGTGTAGTGGCAAGCATAATCATGGCCTCGACCTGCTGGGCTCAGGTGATCCTTCTGCCTCAGCCTTCAAAGTAGCTGGAATGACAGGTGCATGCCACCACACCTGGCTAACTTTTTTTTTTAACTATTGTAGATATGAGGTCTCACCAAGTTGCCTAGGCTGGTCTCAAACTGGTGGGCTCAGGCAGTCCTCTCACCTCGGCCTCCCAAAGTGCTAGGATCATAGGCATGAGCCACCATGCCCATCCTGAGTCTGCATTTTCAACAAGCTCCTGGGTGCTGTTGACACTCTTGGTCCTCAGACCGCATCTTGAACAATCAAATGTTTGTTGTAAAGCTAAAGCTACAATTGGAACCTAGAGCCAATGGAGTCCTAGCCTCTACGACAAGGTGTGAAACACAGGGAGGGTTTGCTGGCTAATTCCTCCTCCCGTGACACCCCACACCGCTGTCACCAGTGCAGACACTCAGCGCTGCTCACCGGTGACCCTATTGCTCCTTGTATTGGTCCTTCCGTGACTGGACAGTAGCCAGAGCTCTGTGGCTAAACCCCAACTAGAGTTTGGAGCTGGGTAACCTCGGGCCTGTTCTTTATTTATCAGTCTTCTTTATTTGCTTTGGGTGTGACTAATCCCACAGAGCTCTTGGGCCTGCAGCCTTTTCCTGGGTAATTTGTAAACTGTTGTGTTTTCCAAGAGACCTTTAATCTGCAAAGTATTGCTGAGCCTCAAAGGGCTTATTGTGTAAGAGCCACAGTTATCCAGGCCAGGAAGAGGCCCTGGAGAAGAGACAGCATCCAAGGAGGCAGCGGAAGGAGGCGTCTTCTCCCTGCTCTGTCCCCAAGTCCACTGCATGGCGAGCCAGTGACAACAGATGCCGAAAGTCTCCACATAACAAAAATATGTCTGAGCCACTCAGTTCATGTGAAAAGATTCAGCCAGTAGTGAAGTGATTTAGACGTTCCCTTGATGTCCTTTGTTTTTTTAAGATGTGGGGTACAATTGAGGGTTAGGGATACAAGTGGTCATCGTATAGGTAAAGTTTGGACCTCTCTTTGGTCCCCACTTAGCCTGGGTTGAGATCAGGTATCTTTTTTTTCTTTTTTTTGAGTTGGAGTCTCACTCAGTCGCCCAGACTGGAGTGCAATGGCCGCTCC